GGTTCGAACCACGGACCTTCCGGTCAGTAAATTCGCACTCTAACCACTTGGGCCATCTCGCCTCCCATTTCCAACAACAAAATGTCGATCGATTAATTTGGGACTATTAAAGCTGCTTTTGTCCGAAAGTTGGTACCTTGTTCCATTAGAATCAGTTTGTTTCGTCAACTTCTGATTCAGCTTCCGATTGGATCGATTGGGCTAGTGCGCTGAGGAGTCTATAGTTCCAAAATCGCTGTACGCAAGTTGTAAGTTTGGTTTTGCCGGCTTTCACCTATTTTGTGTCTGTCATTTAAAACGAATGCTTCAATGCGCCGATGTGAGTATGGGATAGGCATAATACTTTCTGATAAGCAACACTCGCATTCTGTCTGAATGATAGTCAACCCAGTTTTCATCATTCGCGATCGGTGATTCGACCCTGAAGGCCCGGCGCCACTTCTTTGCCCCCGACAGACATCGATGATGACAGGATAACTAAAGTCGGTAAAACTTTTGGTTCACTCGCTCGTCAACATTTGTCCTCTCTTCAGCCCATTAGCCTAGTCACTCGCCCAGTCACAATCTATAGGGGATAATTTTTGAAAAAAATACACTCGACTGAATCAGGATGGATTCAGATTTTCCACGTGTTGTCGGCATAATTCAACTAGCGCGAATCTAAGCAAAAGAGACCGGCGAACGGAGGTGGAATATGAGGAATCAGCTAGTTGTGATCAAAGGAGACCTACGAGACCAGGTTACAAACAAACGTCACTAAGGTGCTGTTGGTTGCGTCCCATCAAACTATCGAATGAATCATGTGTTTATGGGATGCCGTGTCAACCATGCGCGTTGGCGATGTCACGAAAGAAATCTCATCCACGCATGACCTTCCAGTTGATTGTTACTAACAAACTCCCCTTTTGCGATTGGCTGATTGGAACTCGCTGTGCCACAGATAGTCTTCTTGGAATTATCCACTTCATTCGAAGCATCTCCAAAGCCACCCAACTTCTTTCGGTAACTTTGCTAGTTTGTGGATGGGTTTGTACATTACGAAGATTCAAACATCAGCGTGGGGGTTATGTGGCTTTCAGTCAGCACATGACCGTGTAGGCGATGCTAAACGGAATATTGTGAAAACCGTTCATACTGATACCCATGACAATGGACATGAAGCCCTGAGGCAGTTTTGCCAGAACAAAGTCCTAACAACTGCCGCGTTTTATTCGAAATCGCTTTAGTTCTTTTTCGGAATGAATAAACCAAGCCACTTTGTTCATGGATGGTGAGGATGAAACAGACAGAATAAAAAACGTGTGTAGGGTTTTACACGCCAACTACAAAGCCAAAATCTAAAAATCCGTTAGAGTACGCGAGACTTGTGGACACTGTACTTCCCTATCGAAAGAAGTCACGTGAAGAAGTTCCTCCACAGAATAAACGGTATATCGATGTTTAACAACTGTGCGCGTTCTTTCACTTCCAAACAGACTACTCGAGTTCTTCCTAGCAAGGACATTTACTAATTCGAAGTTATGTTCACCTTGTCACCTGAAGAGACTTCAGCTCAATGTTTTCCGTAAAACCATTATCGTGGTCATCCGAAATCGGTCCCATCTGACGTTAGAGACCCAAAGCCGTTTTTGGGTGACCATCTACTACTGTCGAACCCTCAGGAATAGCTGTCCTCTTTCCCAACAATGGGTCTACGAATAAACACCGAAATCCTGATTTGCTCTTTTTCAGTAGCATCCCTCTCATTTCAGTATTCACACAGCTTTTTGTCATCTGTTTGGCCTTCAGCCACATACGCCGACGAGGCTTTGTTTGCTCTTATGTTCTGATTTTTCTGACGTGATAGAGATTTTTAATGCTCTACTAGAACCCGAAAATTAGTTATACGAACGAGAAAACGGGGAGCACTAACAGTGTCTGCTTGTTGAGTAAAATTATAACAACAGGTATATATATGCGAACAAGGGACTTATCGTATTACAGGTACAGATTGATAAATCCTGTTGTAAGTCCGGATGCAGGTTTCCTGTCTTCCTCGCTGTTGTGGCAACTACACGTATTCCTGAATATCCGTGCTTGAAGCGCCGTAAGTCCTGAGCGGCTCTGCGCCGAGTTGGGCGACGTGCGAAGCTCTGTTGAGTTGTGTTGTGTTGCTATGCTGTTGTCCTATATGTAGGGACGTTTGCGTGTGTGTGGGTGTCAGCACATGACTTGTTGCTACCTTATCAGATGGTAGACAGTCGGTGTAAGATGAGTCACTTTGTGTGTCGTGATTTGTACGTGTACGGAAAGAAAGGCGAGTCTTGGATCAAGGGCTTGACTGTGAGCCGTGTAGTCAAGTTAGTCACGATTCTGTGGCGTGATTGTGAGTGTAAGAAAAAGACAGATATCGTGATCTAGCGAGTGTCGGTGACCTGTAGAGTCATGTATGTAGCAAAAGGGTAGCTACAAGATCGCATTTTGAGTAAGCCGGTTCGTCGAGTGACAGGTATGCTCTGGTTGGTTCCCCGTCTTGTACCATGAAACAGCTGCGACATTTAAGTTGTTAGTAGGGCGTAACCCCCTGTCAAAAATCACCCTTACATTCTTGCTGTAAACAGTTTCTTTAAACTACTTTTTGGGCTCAGGCTTAAATTTCTATGGAAAACGAGTAATCGCCAGTTGCAGTTATTTCGATAATTTTACTTCAGTAAAGACTTTGTAGATGCAGGTGTAAAGTGCTTCACCCTGAGGCATCTGGGATACACCAGTCTTGCGAGTTTGCCTGCCTAATGCGCCGTCTATTACAAGGCAAGGCATCCTTGTTCGGGTTCACTCGGTGCAAGAATATGTGAGGATTTAGGTTCCAGGATTTGATGGTAGTGCGAGAAAATTTATAGATTCTCGCTGAGCTATAGTCTTGAAGTTAAAGCCGATCTATGCTGAAAAGCCGAGAACCACCGTACAACTGTTTCATCCTTATTGGGAATCATCTGCAGTGCGCATCTCACGAAACTCCAACAGGAAGTCATGTTCTCCTGCCTAGTGGTTTGAACAGCTAATCGTACGGCGATGGGTGACTTTCAGAGTGTACTTGGTTAAAGAATAGTTACCATCCGTCTTATTATTGGCCACAACGTGAGATTTCAAATTTCGATGCGATCAGCATTTTCCGTGGTTTGACGGATTTCGTTTGATTGTCTCATGTTGGAACGTTTGTGTTGATAGCTACCGAAATGTAGTCGAATGTGGGTCAGTTAGTGCACACATTGGACTACTGACACTCAAATTTAATACAATACCACTTACAAATCAATACAATGAGTGTTTCAGTGCAAATCAGATGGATACTACTGAGTATACAACGATGTCATGAAGATGAAACGCCTTGTATCCAACAGCTTCCTTTGCTAGATGGCTTGACATTGACTTGGTACAAGGTCGTACTGTTCATCGGTTTTGCTGTCCACAAACAAGATCACGTGAATATTTGTAATGCACTACTCATACGGTTGCTGAAAACCCGTCGACAGCCCACGACCGGTTTCGCCCTGCTTGGGGCCCAGTGAGCAGGCGTAGTCCTCGAATTTCCGTCAACCTTACGTCCTACTTGAAACAAAATGCACTCATCTGCAAACATGAGGCGGCCTGGTGCAACACATTCAGTTGCCTGGAGAGATTCAGCTGGGTTCCAGGAAAAACTAAATAGTTTGCAAACGAGTGTATCTCTCTAAGATCACGTGAAGTTTCGTCATCCTCTTCCAGAGTGGAAGCTAACAATTCAGTCACCCAACAGAGAGGTAACGGTGTAGAATTCTAGACGTATTTGGGGAAGTCAACTAAGTGGCACGCAAAATTACAAGCCAAGAATTGTGGTATCCTGAGATTTATGAATAAAATGTGGTATTGCGTGCTCAGAACGCGTAGATGAAATGTATCGAACCAACATACCCAGTGAATCGATTAGAATTAGACACTAACGTGTGCACAAAACACGTGGTAACGCAACTGGTCAAGAAGCGCGCGTAAGAAATTCTTCAAAATTGGGTTGACGTGTCAGGGGTTAGAATTTCATGGGATTTGTGACGTAGACGCACAAAAGAGCGGGTTCACGTTAGAATGTCTAATCGACGAAAAAGGGGTAAAAACGGTTCAGCACGAGCAATGAGGGATACAGTGGNAGTGGTGATATCGGATGAAAGTTTTTCTTCATTTATCTTGTACAGATTTTCAAGGAGCCTTTCAAATTCTACTGACCAAAGGCAAATTAGATATGCATCAAGTGGCGCGTGGTTTTATTGCTGAATTTGTGGCGAAACGCGATTGAAAGGGCGCTTTACGTCAACGTTTAATGGGTGAACTCAAGTATTCTTACTGAGAAGGGAACAGTTTAATGATTAGTATGGACTTTAGCGTTGGTCGGTTGTTGTGAAACTGCGCGTACCCACCACAACTCGCCAAAAACAAATATGTTCGCTAAATTATGTGTGTCGGTGACACACTTGGTCCAAACAGTTGTGGCCAAAGGGGCTGCGTCTCAATTCGTACTGGAAAACTACGGAAAAGATAACAGCTTTGAAAAACAAATCATCCATCGCATTTTTGACATCGCTATTCCCAAAAACAAAAGAGCGAACAAAATGTAGAGTAATCTCAGATGATAAACTTTTGGACATCAAAGTGATTTTGAGCACTCTTCAAAAGTCAGTACTTCACAAAAGCCAGTAGATTGTTGTTTACGAGGCTAATGCCAATAGGGATTTGCCTGAAAAGTATATAGCAATGTTGTGGAATGTAGTTAGCTCGGTTGCGCTATTTGGTTGTTGGTCTGTTCGCCGAGCTTGGCAGTTGAAAAGTTGAAAAGTATATGTCATGTTCCGCTTGAATGTAACACTTAATCGTATTAGAAAGAATACCTTTACACTCAATTTCGCTTAGGTAACTTTGTATGCATTTCACGTCGACCTTGTCAACTTTGTTTTCCAGACGGAAGTCACCAAGCATCTGCACAAATTGTCCGCGTTGGCCAAGGAAGGCGGAGAGTTGGTGCAAGAGTTGAAGTCGACTGGCACACGTATAATTGTGAGTAACATCTGGTCTTTTGGTTGCCCAGAATGATAGTCTCACATCGAGTAGAAAGTGTCTCGTTCGAGCTGCAGAAATGTACGTAAGATTCAAGGTCATACTGAGCTGTGTTCATCTGATCCGCGCAGCAAATGCTTTTGACTGATCCAAGCGATTTCCTCGGAGCAGACTAATAATTTGTACGTATATGCAAGGGGTTTTGCTTTCGTAGTAATCACAAACCTTCTATATTTGCTTCTTGCTTTGAGGGTGATTTAAGATGTGGATCACAGTTTTCCTGATGCCTTCTTAATAGCGTGAGCACGAGTCTGGATAGCCGCTTGATAGCCTGATGTGTTTAGCCAGGCCAAAAAATCAATGAACGTGCCAATCAGCTGATCTGTTGAACACTGACGCGTACAGGCGTGTTATGTGCAGCCGAAAACGGGCTGTTTATAGAACTCAGTGGAAAGTTTTAGGCGGGCCAAAACGTGATGCTAGAAATAGAACTTACTTATCAAGGACAAGTGAAGAACTACAAATCAAATCTGTCTCAACGGAAAAGGTTTTTCCACTGGCAGTTGTGTAGTCCAGTTACGTTTGGAGCTGGTCCTCCTATTACCACTTCCTCTTGTGCTATGACTCAGAGAAAGAGTGAAATTTCACCAATTGGGGAGACTTTCACAAGAGAATTCGTCAGTCGAAGGGCCAGTCAACGGGGTTAAAGGTTGAGCAGCGCTACACCCTGTCTGAGTGAGGGTAAATTGAACAGCCGATCACCAGCTCGTGGCAGAATGGTTACATTTTTGAACTACTAGCCGGGAGGTTGCGAGTTCGAAACTTCCTGCTGGAATTTCGTGAGATGATGATTCTCAATAATGAAAGAGTATAAAGGGGCTTCTTGGCTATTCAGCGCAGTTCGGGTTGGCTTACAGGACGGAATTCCCATCAGAAAGTCCCATATGTTTCCGCAATACCAACTTAGTATTTAGTGAAAAAAATATACCTCAAGATTACAATCAACCAAGTTCATTTATTGAGAATCGCGTAAGAATCGAGTTGCCATTAGTTTGCTCATATTATTTATTTGCCGGCTTGAATTCCTTCAATCTGCGATGAAAGCTTGTAACAAGCTCCGAGAAGCCACTACCATAATGTGTCGATCACACCGAGCCGAATGAAGGTTTGGCCACCTATATCGCCGTATGGTGTACCGGTGTAATGAGTAAAGTCCTTTGCGGCCGAGTTAGTTGTTAGCAAAGACCAATTAAACAGCTACAAACTATTGGACAGGAACGTAAAACGCCCCATGCACCCTGTTTTTTTTATAAAAAACTGACCATTCTCACGCGTCTACTTGACCTTTCATTGACCACCACGCAGTTGTGAGCGAGAGCAGCACACTAGACGCGATGCGGAGTCACGAGGAAATTACATACTACTCGCAGGCCTCATCAGTAGTATCCGCTAGTACATGAGGCGCTCTTACTTCGTTGTTGTTTGAAAAGTCTAGACCAGCGATCAAGACATTGATGTTATTGTTTTTCTCTTTGAGCTAAGATTGGTTCATTGAAGATCCAGCAAATCCCCTATACTTGTTTTTCAAGATTCTGTTCATTTAAACAGAATAAGGATGGATGCTCTCCCTGTCACAAAAGGTAACGGAAACTGGTTACCAAATGCACACTCGCGTCGTATGTCGTCATGGAGCTGTGTTTGCATGATTCCAGGACCAGTGGTCAAACTTATTTGGGACGAGCTAGGCTGACGTAATCCACCAATAGATCTTGATAAATAAGTGGTCAGATTGAGAGGGAGATTGGGCCACACTTGTATTCATCAAGCCTAGGTGGTGATACGAAACACCTGACTGTACAGTGTGACCGTCTAAGTCAACTGAGTACAGGATCACAAGCAAGATAAACACAAGTAAGAAAGTTAAATAAATCCATTTAGCCGGTTCTGTGAGAAAAACCGCCTGAATATGCTTTCGATAAGGTATCTTGTCCAATGCTTCTTAGCAAATCGGATGAGTTACGACGCGGCTGAGTAAAGTATTGCTGAATTTCTTCGGATCCGACTACATCTTCACCAACACCTTTGGTCGAGATCCAAGCTCATTGCATGCTAATTATTGAAAATTAATACAAAAATAAATAATCGATTACACCCTTTGGGTGCTTAGCTGCTACGCCACCCGAAGGAAGTGAAAGAGGGTTGAACTATTGTCAGTTTCCCCAAACCTAGACAGATGCGGTCGCGGGTTGGATTCGAATCACAGACACCCCGGCCATAATTTCATGCGGAGCTACCACTAAGCCATCTCGAGCTTTATTCGTTGGATTCCATCCGTGGGACAACACGTGAATCATTTATTACATTTTAATGGGATAATCTCGTTTCAGTTATTCCAAAGATACAGCGTAAAAAGAGCTTACTCCAGTGTAAGCCCATCTATTCAAGTCAAGTAGATTGAACTAGTATTTACAGACACCCATGGAATAGCTGACTGACCGATGTGTCTGTAATGTGTTTTTTCGTATTACTTACAAGTTTCAAGTAGTCTGTACAGAAAGGGGAATAGGCGAACGAACGAGTGATGAGGTAACAAAAGATCAGCTGAATAGAGCCTGCCAATCGAAATATGAGTAGTGTCACATTCTAAATGTAATCTAATCAGAATGGTTTCGCGAACTCCGGTCCTTTTCATGCTTTTTTGCGGTCCATCTGTCTGCTACTGCGCGTCATCAGATCCATAGTTGCTGTGTTCATCCCTAATTCAAGAAATGTGTTTTAGAAGGGTTAAAGACCTTGATATTTGGCAAAACACCTTACAGCCTGTGTAATCTCGGCAACTTCCGCAACCTTTGAGCCATTCCACAACAAAGGGGACATGATATCATAGGATGTGGGTAGTGCGGTAGAACTCCATCCAGTGGGCAAGCTCGATGGGAAGTTTAAGATCTCCCCAGTGAAAAACGATGCCCTTCATTTTGTCACACAGTCAGTAAAATGAGCATTACTAACCCAGATCAGACCAAAATTTTAGAGTCAGACCAATCCAGGGTGACAGTGAGTTAAACAAACGTTCCATACAGGTATGGTGAACCGTATTGCAAGTTTCTGTTGTCACTGGACCGTCGGCATTAAACTTTGAGGTGGTGCACTCATTCGGAAAACTTTGTTCCACTTAGTTACCTGGTTTGTAAGAACGCGCAGCCTAAGGTGTAATTTGAGCTAAAAAACAATATTTTTCCAGCTTCGTTTCGTCAGTAAATTCATAAAATTTAAAATAGGTCTAAGTGAACTGGCAACGTATTCATAAAGTCGATGAGTACGTTTTATTCCAGTGTGCAAGACGACCAATAATGGACGTGCATTCTGAGCCGTTCTCATCAGATTGGTTCAGCTATTCATTGACTGCTATTGGTACTTGCCACACGATCGATACGGGAGGAAAAACGTGGATGGATGATGAAAAAGGTCGAACATTTCTGAGCAACATAAGCTAGGTGCTTCGTCATTTCCCATGTTTACTTCAAGCTCCTTTCTGTTTTTGTTGCTCAAGGCTACTTGACGAGATGTCACCGCAACGTCCCAGTTTGCTTCAAGGCCCACACTTGGCGCTACCCTGGTTACTTATTCCAGGTGTACCCTATACCAACTCCACCATTAGTTCCCCAAAATTCTCCTGTGTGTCTTTATCCTCGGTCAGTCAGTCAAAAATCCTGATGACACTGATTGGTCATTAGGAGCTCATGTGACTTACTCGCATGCACGATCGTGCCTTATGACACCACAACTGATGACTTTGGGTTTGTGCACTGAGCTGGACAATTTGGCTCCGAACTTTGCATCACCAGTCGAGGTGACATCGCCTTATGAGCAGAAGTGCGTGGATCGACATGGGGTCTACCCACCTAACCAGCAGCCATCGATACATTCTAAGCTACTAATATTCCCTTCAGCTACACACCGTAACTTACTCTAAAACTAAGGTGGGTAAGGGGATGGCTTAGCGTTTTAGACTTAGCTTAACCCGAAACTGTTTTGTCGATCGGGATGAAGCGCTTCTTTCGACAGGCACGGTATCAACAAACGTTTTTGACATTAACAAATCTCCGACGGAATACACACATTTGCAAACTATATTGGTGTTAGAAAAAGACTCATATAAATAACTTAGTTGTGATATTCTTCAACTGAATGTACTTCACAAAGGACGCCTGTCGTTTCCCTATTGATAGAGCATAATACTCGCAAGACTGTTGAATAGCTTTCAGCAACCAAATGGGTGGTGAATTCTTTTAGCAAAACCTAATTTTTTGTTTCGGCTAAGGTGTAGTATTTGCTCAATTCGTGTTCGTAGGATTGGCTGCAAAGTTCCAGTATGGCTTTCTCAGCTGCTGCGGAATCTACCCTTGGCAGTTCCGCCTCATGTGTCACGGTCTGATGGACGGCGGACGACCACTGTAAAACGATGCCCCAACGGAGCCGAACAGTTGATTTTTAAACCCGATTTTGGGTCTCGTTTTGAGCCTTTTCTGAATCTGGCACCATGTCTAACCATGTCTGTTCCTGATGGTCCTATCAAAGAGTCTTTTTCCGTTTTTTAGCAATCTGCGCAGAATATGGAATCGAACGTGAACAAACAAATTGATCTGCTCATTCAACTGCTTGAACGACGTCGGGCTATCTTACTGGATGAACTGCGATCTCAGCTGCAACATCGCGGACGTCGGTTGAGGGAACAGTCCAATCAGGTTGGAAGCAGGCTCTCAGCCACAACCAGTCTGATTCATTTTGCCGTCGAACTGTTGAAGGAACAAGACGCTGCAGCGTTCATTCAGGTAGGTTTTTGACGCAAAAAGAGATACTGAGATCCACTTAGTGCAGATTTATAGATCTTCGGTGATGAATCATCCAGTTTTACCAGGGCTGTCTCTTATGCGAGGGACTTTCTGAGTACCTATTTGGAAAAGACAAAGCAGCAGTTAGACCTTGAAAGAAGATTTACAATAGCTGAGGGCAAGGTTCAGTAGTAAGCTACCATCAGCGGGCTGCAATACAGACATCACAAATAAAATCGTTGGAAAATCAGATCCACAAAGACATCACAGCCCCAAAAATAATATTTCATTAATGTGGCCACATTTTTATGGGCAACGCATATATCCAAAATGCTGAAATTCTGTAATGGTGGGTATTGAATTCAATTCGTTTATGTATGTTCACTTCTCAGAGTTTTCATCGACTTTTTGAGTAGCATCGAGATTGAACTTTGAAACGCCGACACAAGTTAAATTATCAGTAGTTTACTGGGAATGCCTTCCGAATAAACCATCTAGAAGATGTAATTGTATTTTTATTTGTAATTAGATTAATCCGCCGAAATGGGAACTATCGAACACCTAACAAACTCCTAAAGGAGACCAGGGAAATGAAAACGAGCCAACTGCAGAAATGTAGAGAGCACATTCGGAACTCTCCTTTTGCCTGCAAAGGATAATGACTTGTTATATCCTTTAGGTTGGGCCGATGGACATGCTATCGTGAGTGATGAATACGTCTCAAAAGCGGTTGAACAAGATCAGTCTTGCCACTTCAGATGACCGGCTGTTTAGTCGCAACAACTCAGGGTGCAGAACCTCGTTCCGCTATCTTTCAACACTACTTCAGCCTCGAGTTCTCACCTCCAGAATACTACTCATAATTGTCGACTGCACAGAACCATGAGCAGTAAGAAATGAGACATCCATTAAGCAGTACAGCCTGCATTTTACTACAAACTGGGATACTAGTTCAGGAACCATGCTCAGATACTCTGATCAAATACTAAGCACTCTTTCAGAAGTGTTGTATTCTGGAGGCACCACCTTTATGAGTGGAACGGAGCATTTCTGTAGGCATAGGGGGAGGTTTTGTTCACACGGGATAGATGCGACTACTGCAGTCTCCCCAGAAGGAACAAGTTTGAACCATCCTCAGGGGCCTTCTCCGAAGGCAAATATTTGGTGTAAACTCCACTCGAACGATTACCTTCTCCCCTGAGCGAAGATCTAGACGGTTTGACCCGGTGGATCCCCTCGAGGGTTAGAAATTCAATGTTCCTTTAGGTGCAACAGTACGCTATCGTCTTCCTTTGGGAATCGGGTTGGATCCTCAGATTATGAAACACCCGCATTCCAAAGTGTCTTCGAAGTAGTTCACCTATTCCCGACAGTGTTTGCTTCACCTTGAACGTCCAGAGAACCAGTATGAATCCAGGGTGGAGTTCTCTAGATGAATTTCTATCCAGTCGTATCAAGTGCACTGGGGAGAACGTTTCCTTCCTTACGGGCACTTGACAACACGAGTTTGACCAATGAATTTTCACATCTGTAAACACAAAGCACTACCGTCAACAACAAATTAACTTATCACGGTGGCTTGATGCGCCTAAATGAAATCAACTTTGAAACTATACACGGAATGGCTATTTAATTGCTCCCATAATCCTTGATTTAGTATACAGTTGAGCATACCATAAATCTAAGTACATTGATCACGTTGACTATGCTCAGCGTAAAGCAAGCACGATAAGTGAACCCACAATTCAGGCAGGCTGTCTTCATTGTCAAAAGATTCGTAAAATCTGTACTGTACTGAGTCCCCCAGCGACGTCCACCGAAGTGAAGCTACACCGTCGTTTCATTCTTGGTATCCATGTACACAGCCGGTTACCAGCATTCTAGACGCTGAATACGTTTGATTTATGGCCTGCTGACTGCATGACAGAATGACAGCCAATGGAAGAAGGACCGTGAATAATTTCGAACCGAAACACTATACGAAGGGAAGCTTGTTCTCGAGAAATACACTCATTTGCAAATCAATTTGGTTTTCATGAGTGACTGGACTGAGTCTCTCGTTTATGATCTTCTACAACTGTGCCTACTTGATGAGTCCCAAGAAGGGCGAAACCGGTCGTGGGCTGTGGAAGAGTTTTCAGCAACCTTGTGAGTAGTTTCTTTTATTAAGAAGCTTGTTCTATTTCATCCGTCATCACTTTGTCTGCCTTTTTAGCGTACCACTCACCGAAGGCATCCTTCATGTCAAACGATCTCGCCCTTGGTGCGTGACTTCCACTGAGCAATCTCCAACACAGAGAGATCACAAGAACTGCCTTCCCCCCTGAACTGTCCGAATTCGACAAAATCTCGATTACAATCGGAGTAGTGTTCAAACAATAAAAGCCGATTTAGGTAGTCCATAATGTACAACCAGTTGGCATACACCTTACAATGATCAGCTCAGTGAATATCGACCGCATTTCACTTTGAACTACCCACAGATTCTACCCTCCATTCAGAAGCGAATCCTCACAGCAGAATCTCAGTTCGAAATGGAACTGGAACTTGCCAATCAGACAAAAGCTTGTGGTGAAATTGAACTCAGAGTCAATACGGATTTGATCGGTCAACAAGTGGAAACACTTCAGTTAGAAGAATATTATGGTGAGCTCTCTGTAATCAGTTCTGTTAATTATAACGTTCTCTTTTACGTGCGGGCATCAACTTATAATCGGGAACCGGCCGATCACCAAAAACCATTTTTGAAAAATCACAGCTGGATTGTATAAGACAACTGGATACTATAAACGAGTGTAATATTCTCGGGGTCACACGAATTCCGGCGTGTTTTTTTAGGATAGTGGACAGTTGCAAGTAGGTCCTAGTTTATCCGTGCCACGGAGAAACCAACTCACGTCGAAGCACAGTAATTCAAATCTACGACAGCGATCTCACGAAATAGTAGATATTTTGTTTGAATGCTGCTTTGTGTAAGTTTTCTTTAGCTGTCATCATTTCTGATCTACTCATTCATCTACTCCGTGAGTTGAACTACTAACAACGCATATGCGCATTCGCCTGAGAGACCGTTGTGAACCACGTAGTGAAGCAAGTGGCACAGCTGATCAACAAGCCGAATGGCTGAGAAGGAACATACTACTCTTAAGGTCGCTGAAAACTCTTTGACATAATACCACCCGTTGTTCTCAGCCTTCTTTGGACCCATCAGTGCAGGTGCAGTCCCAAAGTTTCCGTCAACGTTTTTGTTCTATTCAAACCCAAAGTATACACTCTTTTGAAGAGCTCTCGCACCCTCTCGCAAACGAGCAATTAAGCTGGGATTCGGTTGAGCCTGTCGATGATTGAATGGTGTTTTGGAACATTATCCTGAAAAGTGTAGATCCAGGCATCTTCAGATAGTTGTGAGATTATCACTGCTGAAGGTTCATAATGAGAACAAGACAGGTGAACAAAGATTTCAGCCTCCATACTGCAGATTTATTCAAATAGCAAAGCTGAAACGTTACAATCTCTAGTTTTCTGAACTGACAGCTGTCTACATGGGCTGTCTACATCTCCAAGTTGGAAAATACTGTAGATTCCGGAAAAGCGTAAACACACAAGGCATTTGTTATCGGGGATCTTCCGCATATTCTCCCGAACGGATCCAGCGTTCCCTACCCCATGAAATATGGTAGTGCCAAAACAGAATGTGGTCCCTAGTATCTGTGACAAGGTCGAACTCTCTGAACAAGGTGAATCTTCTAACACAAAGGATTCTATGACCTAGGTTTATCCAACACAGGACCTTTGAATTTATTGCTGTAAGTCACCCTGGAACTCAAAATCCTTGGACGATCCAAGTTCGAGTAATACTGTCTGTTTGACGGAATCTGGTCTTGGCAATCTGCCCCTGTTCTTCGTTTCAAAGGTCGCATTGAAAGACCGGGTTACGAATATGAAGCGATAAGGACATATTCAAAAAAGATGTTCGTACCGTCCACGATGAGAGGCTCAAGTACAAGTTGAACACAAACGATCAGCCACACGTGACCAAGCAGGTAGCTTCTCACTGCTTGTGGATGCATCGTAGGAGTTTTTGGGTGTTGCACAGCCAATGAACCTGAAAAGGTGTGGAACGGCTCTTTCGACCCACCTGCATCCATTGGCTTCACTGGTAAATACTAAGTAGTAACAATCGTTCAGCCGTAAAACAGTCTTGGTGCATAGCAGTCATCCCACCCAAAGAACGTACGAAGACTGAGATACTGTCACGATGCCCAAGCCTAGAAAAGAGCAGTCGAGATGCGAGGATGAGTTGGAACTTCCGGTAAGTAAGTTCGCGCCCTAACCACTGAGCTACCTCGGCTGTAGATATCCCACTCCAAGGCGGGAAAACAGTGCTCTTGTTACAGTTTATTAACGGTGCGCATCATTGATTGGGCCCCCCAAACGTACTGAACGTGTCGACCAGTTGGCTTCTTGATTAAAATTTCTACTCAGGTTGCTCCATGGGCGCCTGTAACCCGCCGGATAATATTTTCAACTTCAGGGATGGATAACTTCACAAAAATCCGACAGACCAACCATGGTCTGTTCATAAAAAAACTGATTCACTTGAGGATGAGATCAACAGTTGACGCATCCAGTTCACCTGTTATTTCACGAGCTTCAACCTGTAATCAGGATTACTGACTTGTCATCCTTGCTTTTGTTAAATCGACGATTCTGCCGCCAAACTGGTTAGCCAGTTTCATTCAGTGAGAACAGTAACCGGTTCACAATGCGCGTAGGTCGATAACCTAATCGCGTCGATTCTGTCTACGGTTCGGTGTCCACACTGTACCATTCTCGTTGGTCAAGTTCATTCTTGGATGTGTGTGTTGTTTGGAGACTGATGATGATACATTTTCTTGCTCATTTTCGACTGTCAACTTCTAAGGAGAGCTAGTTGCTAGCCTTTAATTCATTGGAGTCATGTGGATTGAACATAAATTCCAAGAGCTTCTACAAACGATAGAAGAGTAGCTAGTAAATCAGAAAACCATGTGCAAGAGGATGAGTCTATGAATTATGGAGAGGAGATATTAGGCCGACAAACGACTACACCCGCACGAATCGTTGAACACAAATGAGATGCGCTCACCCCAAAATACTACTCAGCTCCATAAACAAGAAACACATACCATATTTGCACCTCACTAAATGACACAAAGTCACAGGCACCTACAGAGCAAATCAAAGTGTACCTATTCTGAGACGCAGTACATCTCCACGCAGAAGCTCTAACAGTTCACCATCAACCCACATGTGTCTGCTATGTGCCTGCCATGCAGACGGGACTAATCAACAGTAGTGCAAATCTGGCTCCCTGAACCCCAACACAATTCGGATGTCTAAACAAGAAGTTGACGAGACAGATTATCGCGCAGAGTGTAGAATGTAATCCTCGTCTTACCGAAAAATGCCATCCGGCATGGACACAGGGTACTTGGTCTCTCGTGAGGTGCCTTACTGACAGTAATGAGTTGACGGTCAAAAATCTAGTTAGAATCTACCCAGTGGAACTCACATTTGTATTGAAATACTCGACAAATTAAAACCCAGTAATTCCTCTCCCAGCCGCTTTTTTGCGGTTCAAAATCCTAGACTGATTGGAGGCTTGGTGTGGCAAACCTGACGGGCTGAGTAAAGCTCAGTTTGCAACTGACACGCTGCTTTGTGATTGGTTCAGCATCACTGATGGTAGTCATGTGTTGCGGAAGCTTCACAATTACACTTTTGTGGGATCTTTTCCAGGTAAGCCCCGCCACTAATGCAAAAAGTGCATGTGCGAAAAGTTAGGCCCCGCCCCACTTTTTGCCCGCTCCAATTTAATGTACGCACACAACCTTGACCTATTTTTGATGAAAACAATCCCTTATCCGCATCTAGGCTCAGTTTGTGCAAAAATTTTCTCCGTTCGGACGCAAAACCTTAAATGAACTTTCTGACGCTTTCAACTCACATTCGTGACAAGGAGACGGCAATACGTTTTTTGCAAAGCAATGGAGTGATGCATCAGCAACGTTTATGCAACACTGGCCACCAAATGACACTTTCAACTGTTTCTGACCGGTGGAGGTGTAATGTCCGACACTGTCGACAAGAAATCGGTTTTCGAAAGGGAACTTGACTGGATCGGTATATAATAGAGTTTAGCGCAGTACTTCTGTTCATTTAATACTTGTCCAAAAATTTGGCGAAAATCAAATTCTGCTCAGAGAAATTATCCATTAGCCACATGACCGCCGTTGACTTGAAGAACTTTCTTCGCGAAGTTTGCGCCTGGCGGTTTTTGCAGACTCCAACAGTTATCGGTGGCCCAGGTCTACACGTCAAGATCGATAAAACGGTAATATCTCGCCGTGAAAACCACGCAGGGCAAGGCAAAGGTACCGAAAATATGGACCTTTTTAAGCAAAATATTAATGACATGTCCCAATTTCACTCTCTTCAATAAATACTAGAGGTACAAATCTCACATCCTCTTTTTTCTAATCTTCTTTGCGTGGCGAGGGTTAATTTGTTGGCGGGGCTTATCTGGAAAAGTTCCCTTTCTTGTACCTCCAGCCCTTAAGCTGTGGTTTCGTCGATTAATCCTAGAAAACGTTTGTGAGGGAGAGGTAGGAACCAGGTACTGGGGAATTCGGGCAGGTGAGCAGCCAATAACCGCATGAATTAACTATCTTCTGCCAGCCAATCACCGAAGTCTTCCACTGAATAGAACGAAAGGCTACGCATCGGCCATCCAACCAGTAAGGCCGATCTGTAATAACCAGGCAAAACGATCGGAGCATTTCGAAGAAAACATCTTCGATTGACTGAGTCAAACACATTCGAGCAGGCACTGCAACGTTTAGCACCATGGCCAGCAGTAATGTCTGACAAGAGATCACTTCGGGGTGAACCGGGGCTTGGCGATTGCTGGTTTCCCCCAGTGACGTATATAGTCACTGGATTTTCCCTACAACTANGAGTGTTACAGGCACAGATATTCCTGTGTTTCCGGGGTTGGTGAGCCACCAAAGGAACGTATATGACTCGCGATCAACAAAGAAAGGTTTCATTCCCTTTAAAATGCTTCCCACGTTCACGCTACAAAATAATGCACCATTTGGTTGTTGGTCTGTTCGCCGAGTTTGGCAGTTGGATTGCAAACGTTTTGTCACCAATCGGGGGGGGGGCATCTTCAGTGAGGGGTTGAGTGGATCACACCACCAATCAGCGCACCCGAGCTACCCATATTCCACAACATTGCTAATACACCGTTTTCTAACTTGACGGACCCCTCGGCTACTTTTCTTATTCAACAAACTACCCACATTTAATGAATGGCTTTGAAATACAGAGAGCGTCGCGGAAACCAGATTTCCGCTAGCAAGAATTTCACTGGCATAGTATATGCATACCCGTCAATCGATCATCCCCGATAAGTTTCGGTAGTCGATATTCCAGGGTCAGACAATGTTAGGTGAGAACACGTGACCCATGAAGTAGCATGGTGGAGTTTGTTCTGCAAGACCCATGTTTAAATTCCACAAATGGTCGACATCTCCTATTTGAGTGATTGTGTACCTGTTTAAAAAATGAACACATGAATTTATCACGACATAGGGTCATTTGGTCAGATTCTTCACATTCCTTCAGCCCCTGGGGCAGCACCACCAGAAGAGGCATCTCAGAAGCTTGGTTCTCATTCACTTCGGGGGTACCTTAGATTGTGCCATTAGACGAGAACAGGCTAGGCGACCGAAGGTTTTTATTTCGTAACTTCTTTTTACCCAAGAACAGATGGGTAGGAATCCATAGAGGGCGTCTCAACAACGTGTGACAAGCAGCTTTGTTCTACAAGAACTTACACCCACGTTTCACTTATGTCTAAGTTCGGGACATGTAAGATAATGAAACTGTAGAGTCTGAAAATATCAGCGTTCAACTCCTAGAAAACAAGAACACCCTCTTCTCGAGAAATACACTGATTTGCAAATCAATTTGGTTTTCACGAGGGACTCAAGGGAACCTCTGGCTTATGGAATTCTACAACTGAATGGTTCAAGTAGAACATAAGATTGACGGAAACCCGGGCACTGTGCCTACCTGATGATCCCCAAGAAGCGCGAAACCGTTCGTGGGCTGTCGAAGGGTTTCATCAACCTTATGAGTAGTTTCTTTTATGAAAATATACTGTGATATCTCGAATATCGTGCCAACTGAAACATGAGGCGGCCTGTGTGCAGCACATTCGTCTAGCTGATGAGTTCCAAGCAGGGCGAAACCGGTCGTGGGTGTCAATCAGATGTTCCTGTTTGTTGGCTTGTGAGGAAGACTAAAATCCTGTTGAACCTGGATTTCGCAGCCCTGCTTTTTCTTTCCAAGACACCTCAATGGAATATTCCTCTTGGGGTCGTTCACAGAGTTATTTCGCCTGTGTTCGTCGACGAGTGCCGGGACAATCGGTTTGGTGTTGGGGCTAAGGATGGTTAATTGGGCCTTGCTCTGCTTGTATTTTGCACTTTTAGACCCAGACCATTTTGTTGACAACTGCACACCTCCTCGTGTCAACTCGGTTGATCTAAGACCGCTATCTACAAGCTGGACAATTCCACGTCTTCTATTCCCTTCTTGATTGGCGGCTTCCACCGGCTCGGCCATCACTTACCGTGTGAGAATCTTATAACCCGATCTCGGGATGTCCACATTTTCCAAATCTATCCTGTGCCCAGTGTCTAGTGCATTGCCGAATGGTTGACTATCAACTGATATTCACCTACGTTTCTCGGAGGTGTGTTAATGGCTCGCTTATGCTCACCGACTCTGGTGTGCAATTCCCTGCGTACAGCTGTTACATTTTATTTCGTATACATAGTTCCTAGTCCTTTCAGTCTGAAGGCGATCCTTCAACTGCACAAAATTCAACTATCTTGGGTGATACTTTTTCCAGAGAGAAATTCTTCTGGCCTATCCCAAATGTCTATAACCGTTTATGAGCGACAGAAGCTAGTGGAGGATATTATTGGTTTTGAAGGAAATGTTATTCTAATAAAAAGGGTAAAATCTGGCTAATTAGTTCATCTGTGGTAATACTTCAGACATTAGTTTCCATCCAGGTCACTGTACACTTATTTGTGTTTCATATGTTCATTTCCATTCCCTCCTTCATCACACCTGTTTAGCACCTCCAGTTCCCGCTTTTTTGTCTTCCGAATGCGTGGTTGACGGGAATGCTCTTTTTGTCGTCTGGCATTCCCCACGCCTTTGTCCCAATCGAAATGAATCTGTTGCTCAGATACCTCAAGAAACACCGTCCCAGACTCGGTGTCCGTTTGCAGACGCCGTGGATACTTCACTGGGTGGATCCAGACCTTCTGGTTTGGCCCAGTTCTCATGCCGGCCAGGTTTGCACCCCATCAAACAAAATGGTCATCTGAATGCGACTCCTTTCCACCCCAATCGTCTGTCTCCCCAGCAGTTTCCTGTCTCGGTGTCGGCCTATCATCTTTCTGACAAGGCATTCGACGGTCCACTGTCAAACGGTGGCCACACAGCAGCCACTCCTTACGGTTCCCGCAAAACCTTGGCTCCGTTTGGCACCAGGCAGCCAGAAATGAACAGTTCCCAATCTATGAACGCCATTCATCCACCTTCGCAGATAGTTGGTAACGTTCAAATAACTACAGGACGATTTTCTCCTCGATCTCCGGGTGAATGTAATCCAATAACTTATTTCTTGGAGGTTGACAATGGACGCGGAGGTATATTTAAAGTAGGTTGGTCGGGACTACGTCATGTGCTTTGTAGAAAACTTTTTAGCCGTAACAAAGTGTCTTTTGCTATCCCCAGATATCACCCACTTGAGCTGATTGTAGTTAGTTGTCCTATTGTTGATGAACGAAACCAGTCAGTCAGGAAAGCCCCACTTGTGTCTCACTAAATCGATCTGCCGGCCGAATGTCACTAGAGAGGGAAGCAATGCGAGTGTTGAAACTATATAAATAGCCTGTTTGACTATTCTTCACAGTGAAAGGACAATAATCGTTCGGCTGTATCCACCTTTCAGTGCGTAGTTGCCATACCATCCTAGGTAGACATAAACTGCCAATTTACCCAAGCCAAGACAGGTGTAATTGAGATGCCGAGGTTGTGTTCGAACAACAACCCTTCTAGCTAGTAAGCTAGCACCACTGAGTCATCTCGAGCTTCTTAATACCAGTGTTTAGACTACTGGTCAATACACCCATTGGAACGGCAAAAAAATCCAAAGAATCTCCTTGAATTTGCGGATTTCGTTTGACCTTAATGTGTGGAAAAAGGTGATGTGATGGAGACAGGCTCGTCGATGCCGAAAAGGATGCCAGAGCTAACTTGTTGGAGCTTAGTTCTCGGTCTGAGCCTCTCAAACTAGCGTTCACTTCAAAACAACCACCAAAGGTGCACAAGGTCTTTTAATGTCCGAAGCGAAGTCAGGAACAGTTGTACAGTGTAGGCGGTTATAATTTTCCGGAATTTCTGACGCGTTCTGGATGCACCATTGGCAACCGTCATTTGGCCAATACTGGGTCGTGATTGGCTGTCGGGTCCAGATTCTCGACCAATCAGATTTCGTCTTGACACCGGACCGGCAAGTGTCCCGAATTCTTGGCCAATCTCGTGCGGGCTAGGCTTATCGGCCGTAGCAGCGCCTGAAGACGTGCGGTATACCGGGATCCGTGTAGAAATCCTGCCTAACAGCGACACAGCCCCGAAATATCAGTCTTGTTATTCCGCTACATCTCACCACTTGAAAGAAGCGTTGAAATGGCCCTGCAGTTGTAGTGTTTACGAAAACATGTACTTTAGTTCACATAGCCGACCAAGAAACCACACAGTAGCTGTTAGTTTTCAATCTGTTCATTGACTTTTGACTGTGGATGCTTCACCTTGAAATCTCACCCGTTTTTCATGCTTTTCTATTCACACTTTGTTGTATCCCACTTGAACTTTAACCACAGGTGGCCTACACTGGACCTGAAACGGCCTGTCGCCTTGAAGGACTACAATTCAACACAACCTATCGACTCCGTGTCCGGGCGAGAAATTCTGTCGGACACAGTGCCTACAGTGACCCTATTCACTTGAAAACAGCCCGTTGTGAGTCTAATCGTTCATCTGTTCTAGTCCCTATTGTTATGTCGTTGAACTAGTTGTCACGGCCTACACTTTTGTTCCCTTTTATTTACTGCAGTAGCCACCTTCCGCATCGATCCTTCAAGTGGACTGCCGCATTCGAATGGGCTTCGCGTCGACCCAGATGGAGTGACTGTTCAGTCTCTGGGTGACGTTGAGGATCGCGTTCTTCTGGCTGATGTCGGTTTCTCCCAAGGCACGCATTACTGGGAATGGCGAATCGACTCCTATGATGGAAGAGGGCAACCATCGTTTGGTGTCGCACTCAACAGCGTCGCGCGAGATCGGATGTTAGGTAAGACATCCCATGAGATGGACGACTAAATACTTTGGCACCAGTCTACTCACCAGCAGAATTTGAATTGAATTAATTCTAATCATTAGATGCTTACGAATTTTCGAACGTTATGAAAATCTCGACAGAGTCGAAACCCGTCCGAACAAGGCTCCGTACTGCTCGATGGAACAGTTGCCAGCTCAAACGAAGCTCTACTGTACCATGAATGGCTACTTACCAGATTTCTGTGTTCAAATAAAATTTGAGTGTATTTTCTTGAAGCGGTTACTCACATGGTCGCTGAAAACACTTCGATGGGCCATGATTGGTTTCACCCTTCTTGGGTCTCATCAGGAAGGCAAAGTTCCTTTGGTCGATTCCTGCTTGAACTCAAACTGTACTCTATTCGCAAAGTACACTGAGTTGCACATCAGTTTGCTTGTAATGGAAGACAACTGAATCCCAGTTAAATCACTTGCTCATCGTTTGTTTAGCACATTTGTTGGAAGCGCGTCTGGTGATCAGAAAAAAGCGTTTTGGTTGGTGATTGTTTGATTTCATCAAGCCAGTGTTCAGCCTGGTGTTCCAGGCCATCAAAACTTCACTATCAATCAGTGATCCTCATTTTAGGCTATGTTGTCCAAAAAGGGTAACGTAATCCTCTGTCGCACATGAAGAAACTGTCACACCACACCTCAAAGTAACAAGCACGATATTCATTCAGAACTGCATCTTAAGTTTGAATTCTTGAGTCAACTGGTAGCAGCCCTCAACAGCCTGAAGCGATTTCCAGACTATCTGGAAGGTTACGACCTACAAGGCACGAGAAGTGAGTAACTGTTGTTAGTTTGGCTCCTCAAACTGATACTTGCACAAAAGTTCCCACAACGGGGATAATGATCTCTTCCAGGAAGAAGGGAGGAACTGCACAACCATCACTGGGTTTTGGTCGAGCAGTTGATTTTACAATGTAAGACGATCTAAAGGATCGAATTCATTTATGAACGAAGACATCAAGTGCAATTGTGGAAAGCCTTTTGGAGAGATGGCAGGTTTACCTGTCATTTCGGCAAAACCAATCACAGTTGAGGACTTCAATGATAAAGGTCTTTTGTTTAACGTACCGGTTTGTCCAAACTCTACAGGGAATCGATCACTAGACTTTTCAACGCAACACTTGACTTGGCTTCCTGGGAAGTCTTTGTATTTATCGAACCGCATCATTACTTGCAAACTTACAGTAACGTACCTACCGAAGGGAGCATTCAACTATTACGAACCGTCGTTTGAAAATGTTGTAGACTAGTGTGGAAAGGGCTGTCTTGTAATTTGGTCGATTCGACTGTCACATTTTTCGTGAATGGTAACGAATCTCGAAGGTTGTTTCAATAAAGCTTATCGATCCACGGATTTCATTTCTCACGATGCTCATGAAAACCCCGATATGTATGAATTACCTTTGTCCCATCGGCTTTACCCATCTCAAAATACTATTTCGGTATGCATCGTTCTATTGTTAAAATATTTGTCACGAGACGGTAGTCGCGACGTAGTCTTTCTTTAGTCTGTGGCCTGTGAAAATTTCTCAGGTTAACCCAGAATTCATTGTTTTCCTTGGTAGGTCTGGACAATGCTGGGTGGGCAATGTACGCAAACTCCAACCGCTCCTGGTTTGTTCATGCTGGACAGCACCGAGATCGCACGGATGGTGGAATACTGACTAAAGACCAATTAGAACGCGACCATCAGCCGACTGTGATTGGTGTTCGTTTAGACTGCGATCAAGGTCACCTGGGCTTTTATCTGAATGGCGAACCACATGGGCCAGTTGCATTTACGAATTTGCTGCAAAACGGCAAGCAGTCGACCGAGGCTATGGAGTCTGATTTAAAGGATGGTGTGCGTGTAGCTAGAACAGTTAAACCCTCGCTGTTCTACCCCGCACTCAGTTTGAGCCATTTCACACGTGTCAAGTTAATCACCGGGTTGGAAGTCCCCAGCGAAAGTGAGGAATCCAGTGAGGAGTCCGAAGTCGAGTGTGGCGTTTTGGCAGTGCACACGCCAGAATCAGCTTCCTCATTATCAACGCCCAACAACACTAGCGAACGCTCGAGAACAAGCGTGTCAACAGGGAAGGATTCTTCCTCATCAACAACGTCGACTGATGGCGGGTCTCAGCTGCGGCCTAATCGGCCTTCGGCGATACATCCAGACATGACAGGGATTGGATTGACCCGGGGCTGCACAATTTTGACAGGGAGTGTAGGTGTCACCGGACCGAAATCACCCACGCCGATTCGTCTGGTGACATTCGGTCGATCCTAATTACCACTTGGTCAAAATGTGATAGCGGTCGCTGCATTGCTTCCTGTACATGCTTTCGCAATCCAGACTTTTCTCCTGAGCTACGAATGCTAACGGAAAATGCTTTCGATTATCTACATATATACACATCTATACATGTACTCACTTTTACGGTATACAGCAGATGGCGTAAAATTATTATGCTAGTATGAGGCAATTTGGTAATCTTTATTTGAGGTTTCGCCCTACCGGTGAAGCTAATCTACACTAGAAAGCCGATAAGCAATGTACGGTTGTTTAGTTCTTCTTGCGAATCACCGGCAGTGCGCATCTCACGAAACTCGGAGAGTTTCGAACCCACAAACTTTTGGCCAGGGGTCAAACAGCGGTTAAACCGTTCGGCTACGATAGGATCTCACTTAGACAGGATATAGCGACATTCATTCTTCAGTCACTGAAAACACATCAGCTGGTCATGTATCGACTGGCTCCTCGAGTGATGACTTCTCAGATGGAAGGAAAGTTATTCTCAGTGGTTGAAGCTCCAATTTACTAACCGAAAGGTCCGTCGTTCGAATCCGACCTCTGCATCTCGACCTCCTCTGTCTAGGCTGAGGCAAGCTGGCAGCCCTCGGGCTTCCTTTGGGTGGCATGGCAGCCAGGCACTGAAAAAGTGCCACCGTTAGAAGATTATCTTTTAATATATCCTTTGCATGTCAGTTTGGTTGTACGCAAGGCTCGCCTAAACCTAGCTGAATCTGCTTTCTATGATATTCTTCACCTGACTTTGCTGGATAAAGGCCACATCATGTTTCGCTTGGTGCGAAATTCGAGATAGCACAGCATGTTTTCATCAAGGAAACTACTCACAAGGTTGAAGTCTACCAAAAACAAAAGATTCCGCTGCGTCTCAGGTGATTCTTCCATGGAAACCAAAGTGCCGGCAAATGAGTGTTGAATCACTGATTGAGTTTAGGACAAACGGTCTCTCGTCAGTGAAGCCAACCTACGCTGTTTAAGCTCTCTTTGTGAGTGCTATTAAGTTGGGTGATTCTTAGATTATCGAGTTGACTGAATAGTGGCTACTAACACAGTTGTGGTTCTACACGTAACAGAAACAGTCAGAAGCAACCTCGGCAACACTATTGTCAGTCAGTTAGAGAATTGAACGTCTTTTTTTCGGGATGTCTACAGCAACTACTCGGTTTGATTGTTGTTAGTTAATCTGAAGACCGAGTGTTTCCCACACACCCACTGGAACTGATTTGAAAGTGGGCGCACACACACAGGCCCTACACTAATTTCTCATGTGGTGTTAATCTGCTTTTCCTGCAGAAGTGAAAACTACAAAATTGATAACGGCATTTTGAGGTACAGTCCTGCAAAACTATATTTAACAAGAACGTTGTGCGTTAGCTCAAATTTGGTGTACTCTGTAGCAGAGAATTTACGTAAGATTTTTAGGTGGTCCATTGTTGGCTTCATTTGTGCTATTGTGAACTTTCCGTGAACCACTCAGATGAGGTCTAATTTCCCCCTCGGTTCAGCAAAAGCTTCTGCTAGGTTTTCAGAAATGCATTTACTTCCAACATCAGAAACTCGTGGAGGCTTGGTTCGTATTCGGAGAACCAGCTCCGAACGTAACGGTACTGACTACATAACAGCCAATGGAATAACCGTTTTTCGTTGAGACGGATTTCATTGGTTGTTCTTCACTTGACCTTGACAGATGAGTTGTATTCTTAGTATCACGTTTTTGACCCGCTCGGACACGACAGTGATCCATAGATCAGCCGGTTCGCACGTTCATAGACTTTTCTCGTTTGGCCAAGCGCGCCTCAATCGGCTATCCAGACCGAGGTTCACGGTAACAAGAAGGCATTAGGAGACTATGGTCCGCAACACACTAAAACACCCGAATTTGGTGTGGTTTAAAACCCACAACACACTAAAAACACCCGAATTTGGTGTGGTTTAAAACGCATCCGACTAGCACGCACGCATCACAGTCTGAAAGTTGGGCCTCACTACCTGTGGCTTTCGGCTAGATTAGCTATTCGGAGCCAAACCGTTTGCCTCCATCGAGTAGGCTCACAAAATAATACAAAATCGGAGAGGTACTCAAATTATGCTAATTTGAGTAAATACAATTACACCCTTGTAAATTAAGGTCTGCAAGCGATAAGACTGATGGGCACCGCGAGAACAAATTTCTTAGGCTCGGTGCACCAAGCCTTCGGAATGGGAAAGTACCTAAAGACCCAGCCAATTAGGCTTCCAACAAATTACTCAGAACCTGGATCAAGTGTTGTGCTGTTTTGGTAGGGCATCCAGGGACGGGATACTGTCGCATTCTTCAAGCTGATTGGTGAACTTGATATTGGGGCAGGGAAAATGTTGAAAGTCGCGACCACTTGCTCTGTCACAACTGTTCTAGGTTGCACGACAAACGCTTCATCTGGGAAGAGTCTAGAAGGTCCTGTGCATTGACACTCCATTCAGATTGGAGCTGTTACAGGAACGGCTGATTGGTTATGTTGAACTGCCAACGTTCCAGCATGACCGTACTGTCAGGGCGCGCCCAGACAGGAAAAAAGCACATGTGCAGAGAGTGACGTATCCTCAAGGTCACCATCGGTACGACAGGCCCGGAAAGTAGGTGCGTTGGCGGAGCTCACCAAACACGGCTTAGCAACATACGATCAGCGTAGTGGGCCTGAGATTGTTCACGACCGGAACATCGCCATTGGCTGTACGGAGCGAACAAGTGAACGACTATAGCTGGCCAATTATTTATCCTATATATTACGCAGGCGCTCTGCATGTTTTGTCCTGACAATACAGCCGTGTCCCGAGTTCTCTGTCTTCTCCCTATCGCGTAGCCTGGCAGGCTCAGTGCAGGCGTAAGCACTAGATACAACACGTACACTCCTCGGCTAGCATAGGGCTGAGTGGTGAACTCATGGCTCCTCACATTCATGTTGCATCCAGACGGGAGTTATTTCAAAGTTGTATCTTTGACTGGTCAACATCAGCGATCTATCGTCTGAAAGCTAGCTGATCAACAGTATTGCTCACATTCATGGTGCACCCAGACGGGAGTTATTTCAAAGGTCAACATCAGCGATCCGTCGTCTGAAAGCTAGCTGATCAACAGTATTCTATCTTGTTGTCCTTGATTATCTCACGCTTGGTGCGAGCTTGAAAATGGGTGGGCCGAAAAACCTAATTCGCTTTATAACCTCGTAGTTCTCGATGATCTGTGGGGGTGTAAACTGTATGCAGTGTTGTGATATACTTGCGCCTGGGCTCTATGGATGAATCGTATTAACTGTCGAATCGATCCCAAGGTTGCTAATATGAAAATCGACCTCTCAAGAGTGAACAGTGATACACTAGGTATTCCTTGGAGAGGAGGCATTTTCTCTCAGCTAAGTGTTTGCTTTAATAGTAGCTTTTAAACTTAGGACAGGTGCAAGCAAACTTAAATCAAAACGGCCTTTGGAGTTTGGTTGGATGGTAATGGGACCCTGTAGAACTGTAGAACGGCTGTGCAGCGAACGTTACTACCATGTCAGCACTTGCCCTAACCCAAGAATGTGCTGGCTGGGCACGAATAAACGGGATAAGTCATCTAGTTAAGCGGTACTACGCGTTTGTCCTGCAGTCGGTTGTTTTCCCGGAGCGAAAGTGACACACAATGACCAGATCTTCGCCGATACTGGTAATAATTGGATAACAGAACCCTTGTGTGTGAATGCAGGTGTGTTTACAGTTGGGCACTGAGTCATCTTACAACAAGACTAAACAAAGTGACAATCTTTTTAAAGGGGAGAGCGGGATCACGGAGATACAAAGCCAAACCCGGAATGTATTCGGGAAACTTTATGCCAATCATGATTGTATGCTCGGCTTATCTGTCATTGCCGTGAGTTGGAGTCATCTTTCATGTTCCTGTCAAACAAGTATTGTCTTTGCGGCCCGCACGTCTGTCAGGTTGTGTTTTGGCCTTTTCTTTGTGGAATTGTATGAAATCTCGCCAAGCTATTATGAATGACTAACGCTCAGATGTTAACTCTCTTTCGCTTCAAATTGGATATTTCTGAAGTCACCACCCCACAATAACCCATTTGCTGAGAAAGATTTTGATCATCGCTCCAAGACATGCAGCTTGTTGCTGCCATAGAAAACAAACAGCAAACGAAAAATGTGTCCGAAGAGAAAAACTACTCATCCACGAGAAGCAAATACGGCGCCAAAGAAGGAGTTTGCCGTTGTTTGTAGGTTTCTGAGAGCAAGTTAACAATACCACTCTTCAGTCAGGTCAAACAGGCTTCTAAAAACTTGAAAGCTGATCAGTGACGTCGATATTGGAAAAAAATGGATTTTATGTTTACATTTTATTGATACTCAAAAGTAAACTCCGGGACTTTTGATCAGGGAGTAAGCCCTCCGGAGAACCATGGTTGGGACTATCTGTGATAGGTACGCCCTATGGATGATATTTATTCAGCACACACCCAACAAAATGCGACACTTTGGCGTAAAAAGTTTTATCCCATGCGCAAAAGTTTTGCAGCTAAGAGCATTGTGTGGCCAAGCAGTCCCGCTTTTGATCGCATGTTTTGCTCATCCGTACCCGCCATTCACCGGGTACCGCAAAAGCCACCCAATCCGACACTAGTATGCCGGCATGCGTGTGCGAATGTGCGCCACTCACCTACTTACCAACGCGTGATCGTGCACCGTCTGCCGAACCTGCTATGTTTCGCTCTGATCCTCGTGAGTGCCGTGTGATCGCACCGCCAATCAGAATCTCGGGACTGGCCCCTGAAGAGACGACCCCCACTGCTGAGACGACATTGCGCCCCCCCACCCCTTGACTGGCTTACGAACTATGGCAAACTTGCATACGTGGTGACGCCACGAACTTGGACAGTTGAGGCTTGTTGTTGAAAAGAGTATCATGGACATTGGAACGTTTGACATTCTCCCTTTTGATATTCGGGATCGTCCGTCATAAGCGTGACTCAAGGTTGCATATCGGATGTATATTTGAACCCATCCCTAATTGAACAATATTCGCATCACCCACAAGATAGCACATTTTGGAGATGCCGATATTATCATATTGTACAATTGTGTCTCAGCTCCTAAAGCCAAAGATGTAATTGGCAGAGTTGTTGGGAAATTCGTGAATACTGGGTGAATGTCAGCAGGCGGACCACAGTCCATTAATGCCTTCTCATTACCGTGAACTCCGGTCTGGATAGCCGATTGACCGCCTGGTGCACTTGGCCAAACCAGAAAAGTCAATAAACGTGCGAGCCAGCTGCTCTATTGATCACTGTCGCATACAGCTTATCTGTCAAGGACGAGTGAAGAACAACCAATGAAATCTGTCTCAACGAGAGCGGTTATTCCATTGGCTGTTATGTAGTCAGTCCCGTTACGTTCGGAGCTGGTTCTCCTGATAGTGTGTGATGAGGAAGAGGCGACAAATCGGTTGTCCTTCTCAATCGTTACTTTGTCCGAGTGTGAAGTTGACTGGGCCGAGGGTTACGAACACATTTCCTGAACTGGCGGGATTGTATGTGCTCACGTGAAAAGAGCAGAAACTAACAGACCTTGGTGTCATGTTGCAGGAACTGTCGATATTCAGGAATCTCTTGACCAACAAATCATCTTCGCATGAGCGAGACTTAAAAAAAGAATTCCCACCATTGAGGTTAACTTCCCGAATAGTTTTCCAAATGAGTTACAGACCCGAGCTTACTCTCCATTCATGTTTGTGGTTGGAAAGTGTATGGCGAAGACTCTAGTGACTGTGCGGTGTCGCAGACTCCAGTGCTATTTTGTTGCAGCAACTATTGGCTGTCGGTATTCAAGAATCTCTTGACCAACGAATCATCTTCGCATGAGAAATTTGAAAAAAATTCCCACCATTGAGGTTAACTCCCCGAATAGTTTTCCAAAGGAGTTAGAGATCCGAGCTTAGTCTCCATTTTTGTTGGTGGTTGGAAAGTGTATCGAGAAGACTCTAGTGACTGTGCGGTGTCGAACCCGAATAGTTTTCCAAATGAGTTACAGACCCGAGCTTACTCTCCATTCATGTTTGTGGTTGGAAAGTGTATGGCGAAGACTCTAGTGACTGTGCGGTGTCGCAGACTCCAGTGCTATTTTGTCTGTTCGGTCCTTTGAGGTATACGCTTTGTTTAAAAGTATTCTAATACATGCTTGGGCATTCTGACAGCATCGTCGCCCGTGCACAATTACGAACCATGAAACCAAAAATGATCCAATGCCAAGGAATTGCTTCAAATGCAGCCCACACAATGGCCAACAGACGAAAGGAGACTACCTATTCTTTCTTCGTCTCAAAGATGCTTCAGTTCCACCATCCTCTATTCAGTGATTGAAGACATCCATGGGGGATTTTCACGAGGACCAACAAACCCATTAGCTTTAGCCGGAAAAACTGTTCGTCAGACTGCGGCAACGAAATCAGTCTGTATGCTTCTACACCCACTGTGTCGGGTTGACTTTTATCTTCGCTCCTTCATGTAAGCAGGGTGCTTCTTCTTCTCGCACTTTGGATTTGTTTGAGATCGATGTACACAACATGTGCGAAAAAATACACGATCAAAGGGCTCTCTTTGCGCTACCTGCCACCATCATCATGTTCTTCCACGTGGCGCGAATTTGTGCATCTGGGGACCGCAGCGAATGGCTGTACAGGGGTNAGAACTCATTTGGGACGTCTACTGGGATTGGAATTTTTACGTACGAGCAAGGACAAAAGACTGCTTCATCTATGCACCAATCGCAAACTGTTTTTTCTCGGAAAATGGAAAAATTGCCCCAGTTCAAAATGCCACTCGACGGCATGCCAGGCACGGAAGCAGATTTGTCCGATTCTCATCGGTTGATTCTGAAGTAAATCAATGACTGAATAGTGCTACATGGCGTTATCTGAATCCGATGCGTGAAGCCCTAACAGGAGAGCAAGAGAGAGAGTCTGAGTTTAACATTGTGGGACCACACATTTACACTTTTTAGTGTTACAAAAAGGCCTTCAAGTAAGTGACCCAAGCTGTTAATGCCATTGAATTTTCAAGGTGAATTTGACCTTGTTAAATTATCCCTTCTCTCTGCCAGGTTTGCACTGCGAGGGACGTCACGATAGCTTCTAAACACAATGTGTCCGTTCGCTTCTCTAAGGTTAGCTGGGGAATGAGACTATACTATCAGCTTTTCAAATGCTTTCCGAAAAAAAGGGATGTGTGATAATTGTGCCTGGTCTTCCTATGTCTGTTTATCCTCATTTCCCTTCTAAACCGAAATCCAGATAGTAAACAAAATTATACTTACTGATGCAAGTCTTGTGGATGTGGAAAGTGCATACGACCCTGTTCTTCTCTTTGAACAGATGAGTGAATTACGGTCGATATGAATAGAAAAAATCATTCTCTGGCCGGTTCGCCCCCAAGATCGCGCTTCCGGAAATGCAGTCAAAACGCGTGTCACTTGCATTTCGAGGCAGAGTACTCAGGTTTTTCAGGGGCGTTTTGCGCACCCCCAAGTCGCATGAACTTTGACCTCTGACCCAGGAAAACAATGCCCGAAACACCAAACCTCGGATCCCAAATTGGAACATATTTCTGAGACAAGCTCTCGAAATTTTAAGTATATTATATGGCAGGCTACTACATGAGGTGTCTTGCTGTATGCTTTCATGGGTGAGGCGGGCTTGAGCGTTTGATAACCATTGTCCTTTCGGCTGGTGTCTACGAATCGCCAAGGTCAATCAGAAAAGGGGTTTGCTTATGCAATGGAGACGCCATTCGAGAAATAAAAGCTGCCATGGCTTGGTCATGTACTGCACGTGTCGTTCTCCGAGCCTAATACAGAGTGGAGCAAGCGGTGAAGATCTCCGGTAAGGTGATCTCCACAACACAGCAGCTAGTCAGTAGTCATTTCTGTAGAGATTGTCTGAGTGAGTGTGTGAAGGTCCACTTTCACTCGCGCAAGGTGCCCAACTATCAGCCCTTGATGCTGATGATGGGATGTTGATGACAGTAAGGAGGCTTTAGATAAGACGAGGCCATTTCCCAGGAAACACTTTTTGTACGGTGTGGTGTCGGCGACGACAGAACCGTTTGCCTTCGCCCTCCTTCTGTTTCGCTATCCTCTGCATATAGATAGCCTGAAAAAAACCAACTCAGCTAAACCCTAAAAAGTTCAGAAATTCGTCCAACTACACTGAGTTTATCGAAGAGCCCCGCGGGGGACGGGTGGCTTTCTGGATCATGCGATACCGGTTATTTGAGTTGATTCGTATGTGACGGAACTGGTTACCTACATCCACTAACGTATGCTGCATGATTGGTTGAAAATTGAACAGTGACACATGGTAACATGACCTATCAGTTTGTGGGTTACCCTCCCGTCAACGTTTATCTTCACAGTTCGGTTACTACCTCATCAATATTTACCTTCAAGCACTCACATAATTTGTTTAACGCATACACACCCACTGTTTCATTCCTGTTTTGATTATGTCATGAACATTCGACCCATGACTAACCCAGGTTATTGGAATCTTATCCTAAGACAAACAATGCAAGCGCATCCTCACTCAAAACGTAAACGCATATAAGTTGAATCTAACTTGACGTTATGATAATTTCCCCATTCATTTGCTTACTCCGTCTATGTACTTTTGACCTCCAGTTGTTTTGCATATGGGTACCCGGCACTCACTTTGCCGCAGAGGAAGTCCCTTCCGACACTTGTGTATTGACATGCGTGTCTGTGTGTGAATGTGCGCCGCTGACCTACTTACCCATGTGCTTTCATGTCCCGTTTGCTGAGCCTGCCTTGACTTGTTTTCTCATGGGCTCCGCGTGATCGCACGCCCAATGAGAATCACGAGACCGTCATCGGAGGGAACGACCGCAACCCACGCTACTGAGCCATCATTCCGCTCGCCATTGTTTCGTGTGCGGACGTTGACACTGCACTGTGCCGGTCAGGGACAGACCTGTGAACGTGTTGACGCCACGAACGTGAACAATTGAGGTTTGTTGTACGCATTTGCTTACCCTTTGTGCAAATAGTACCCTAGAATTACGAACCCAATTCTTCCTTTTGATATTCGGGATTGCTGAACCTACGCGTCACTCAAAGTTCCGTATCGGGATACTTAACAATATATATGCGGAACAACCACAGCAGGATGCAGACGCTCGTCACTTCAGAGTCAGTTTCAAATCTACGTACGACTCACTGTGCAGGAAAAGTCTGGGCTCGATATCGTTTGGATTAGACGATGATTTCAACACGCTTGGTCAAGACCCGCGCCCGACAAACCTCGGCATCATCTACCACAACTTATCAACCGAAGAACTGGATAAGTCTCTTTCCTTTTCATATGTTATTCAATTGTACTAGTGTTTATGTTAGCCACTATACTGTTTATTGTTAGTGTTATTCACTTTCTGACATTACTTCGAGTAGAAGCTAATAGCACTAACAAGTTTCCACTACATCACCTGTGCCGTTGGTGACGAGAAAAAAACGAAATATTGTATGCAGCAGACTATATTATCCACATAGTTGAATGATGATCATGAAAGACACGTGCAAAGCCGTAAGCTGACCTGTCAGTGTTGGTCTCACCGGGAAACCTGTACAATGGGGGGGGGGGGGGAAAAAAAAAAAAAGATGCTGTTTGACTGTTTCGGTGTAATTTGGTAATCAAACGGCCTTTACAGAGGATGAGGTGTTGGCTGAGAGAACATTGTCACAAATAGGAAGAATGTATCTCT